CCCAGCCCTGGCTACTCTCTTCACAGTGAGCCACACTGGGGCTTAGGAGAAGAAAACACATGTCCCAAGGCTAGGCATCAAGGCTGGCACAAGAAGGGACAAAGCCCCCCACAGCTGGTGCAGTGTCCACTTCCGCTCTCCAGGGGTAACAGCTCCCCACACTGGATTACAAGGCTTTGCTCCTCCTTCTTTAGTTCTGTAAAGAAAAGACTGCATTCTGGGACCCCATCCCCTACCACACCATCCCCTCCCCCTCCCCTACCCCCATACTAGGTGGAGAGTTCCTGGAATGTTGAGTCCTGGGAATTCAGGGGTTAAGAAGGAAGAGTACCAAGAAAAGAACCCAAGTGCTGACCTCCATGATCCAAGTGCTCCTAGTCTTGCCTTCCTCATTTGTCTTTGCTAAAAACTAACCCTTGACATTCCTTTTTGTGTGTGTGCCAGTCCTGGGGCATGAACTCAGGGACGGCACACACCATCGCTGAACTTTTTTGCTCAAGGCTACTGCTCTATCAATTGAGCCACAGCTCCTCTTCTGGCTTTTTTTTTTTTTTATATAAATGGGGAATAAGAGCCTCATGAGGGCTGGGAAGATAGCTCAGTGGTAGAGCGCTTGCCTTGCATGCATGAGGTCCTGGGTTCAATTCCTCAGCACCACATAAGCAGAAAAAAAAAGCCAGAAGTGGCGCTGTGGCTCAAGTGGTAGAGCGCTAGCCTTGAGCTGAAGAGCTGAGGGACAGCACCCAGGCCCAGAGTTCAAGCCCCACGACTGGACCCAAAAATAAGAGTCTCATGAACTTTCCTGCCCAAGCTGTCTTCAAACCACAATCCTCAGGTCTCAGCCTCTTGTGTAGCTAATTTTACAGGCATGAGCTGCCAGTACTCAGCTTGTGGGAATATGCTTTGAGACTATTACTTAAATCACTCACACACACACACACACACAATCTCACTAATTTGGTATTCACGGCTGATTTCAAATTCCAGAACTGTGTCTACAGTAATAAGTTGGCAATTTGGCATGGAGGTGCATACCTGTAATCCTAGCACTCTGCCTGAAGCAGAAGAACTTAGAATTTGAAGCCAGCCTGTGATATATAATGAGACCCTGTCTCATTCCCAGCCTCACAGAACTTTCCTTTCCTAACTCTAAATAGATAGAAAGATAGGTAGATAGATAATATCTACATTAGTAAGAACGTGATATTCTTATTTTATCCAGTAATTAGAATCTAGAATCAATTGCAATCATTATTTATGCTCAAATTGTCCCATATTTAGCCAATGGGAATTCCTTATGCTGTTATCCCTCCCTGTCTTTTTTATTACTATATATATATATATATATGCACATACATATATATACATATATATACACACATATAAATATATACATATATAATAAATATATAGTAAATATAAATATATAAACACATACACACACAGGGAGTATTGTAATCTAGGTAAGATGGCTTGGGCCAGGGTGTAATATTTAAGATAGTGACAAGTTTCTGGCTTATTTTAAAAATGAACTGATGCCAGGCACCAGTGACTTACACCTATAATCCTAGCTACTCAGGAAGCTGAGGTCTGAGGATCATGATTCAAAGCCAGCCCAGGTAGTAAAGTCCATGAGATTTTTTTTTTTTGGGGGGGGGGGGGGCTGAGGATCATGGTTCAAAGCCAGGCAAAAATTTTTAATTAAAAAAAAAAAGTTTTTTTAATGTCATGAGGCTTGAACTCTAGACCTACAGTGCACTCTCTCTCCTCTCTCTCTCTCCCTCTCTCTCTCCCTCCCCTCTGGGGCTTGAACTCAGGGTGTTCCAGCTTTTTCTGTGTATGTGGTACTAAGGAATTGAAATAAGGCTTCATGCATGTGAGGCTTCATGCACTCTCACACTAAGCCACATTCCCAGCACTGAGTTCTGTCTCTGAGTTTTTTTGCTCAAGGCTAGTACTCTACCACTTTGAGACACAGTGCCACTTCTGGCCTTTTTTTTGGGGGGGGGGGGGGGGGAGGTTTCCGGGTCGTGGGGCCTGAACGCTGTCCCTCAGCTCTTCAGCTCAAGGCTAGCACTCTACCACTTGAGCCACAGTGCCACTTCTGGCTTTTTTTTCCTGCTTATGTGGTGCTGAGGAATCGAACCCAGGGCCTCAGGCATGCAAGGCAAGCGCCCTACCACTGAGCCAACTTCCCAGCCCTACTTCTGGTCTTTTTTAAGTAATTAATTGGCGATAAAAGTCTCATGGAGGCTTTTATGCCCAGGCTGGCTTTGAACCACAAACCTTAGATTTCAGTCTCCTGAGTAGCTAGGATTACAGGTAGTATAGGTTTGGTGGCTCTGATGGGGACAGGAATGACTAGTTGGAGGGGATTCAAATCCAGAAACAATAAACATAACTTACGCTTGTTATAGGGGGCGGGGGAGAAATGTGCTAGTATGTTTCCCTGGTTTCTGATCTTTTCACTAATCAGCTATAACTGTTTTGTTTTTGTCAGTCATGGGGCTAGAACTCTGGGCCTGTATGCTGTCCCTCAGCTCTTCAGCTTACTGCTAGAACTCTACCACTTGAGCCACAGTGCCACTGTCCAGATTTTTCTGTTTATGTAGTGCTGAGGAACCGAACCCAAGACCTCATGCATGCAAAGCAAGCACTCTACCACTGAGCCACCTTCCAAGCCCCTAACTGGCTATAATTCAAATAACTAGTGCCTCATGCCACTAGCCTGTAATCCTAGCAACTTGGGAAGCTGAGATATGAGGATAGTGATTCAAAGCCAGCCAGGGCAAGAAAATCCATGAGACTCTTACCTCCAATGAACCACCAAAAAGCCAAAAGTAGAGGTATGTGTCAAGTGGTAGAGCACTAGCTTTAAGCAAAGAAGCTCAGGGACAGTCCTCAGATCTTGAGTTTGAGCCCCAGGACTGGTATACACACACACATAGAAGTTTTTCAGATCATTGTGCTAGAATCACCTGATAGAAGCTTTATTGTTGCATCCTAACATGGCAGAGAGCACTTCAAAAGCAAGTAAACTTACTGGAATTTCTTCCTCCTCCCCCTCCCCCGCCCCTCCCCCTCCCTCTTCCTCCTCCCTGCCCCCCTCTTCCTCCTCCTCCTCTTGCTGGCATAATAGGAACTCCACTCTTATGCCTTTATCCAACTCACATTATGTCTTAACATATAAACTGAGGGATTGTTTCCAACACAGGAACTAGCCATTATTAGCAGCAGATAGGTTTTGTTATCTTGTTTGTTCAAAATGAGAGAAATTACAATGTAGGCTAAGGGAGGTATATTTTCCTTCTTCCAGAAAAGAAGAAAAATTTGATGGTACAGAACAAAGAACAATGTCCTTGAGTAGGGTAAAGGGAGTAGGAAACCTAGTGGGTGTAGAGGTTGGCTACAATTCAATGGAATTACTCATAATTCAATAATTCATAATTCAAGGGCTGGGAAGGTGGCTCAGTGGTAGAGTGCTTGTCTCGCATGCATGAGGCCCTGGGTTCGATTCTTCAGCACCACATAAGCAGAAAAAGCTGGACGTGGTGCTGTGGCTCAAGTGGTAGAGTGCTAGCCTTGAGCTGAAGAGCTGAGGGACAGCGCCCAGGCCCAGAGTTCAGGCCCCACGACCAACATCCCCCCCCCCCAAAAAAAATAATTCAGTGGAAGCTTCAGTAAAACAGGGAAGAAAGCTGAAGACGACGGAGGGCAGTTTGGGTTTGAGATGACAGCCGCAGCTGCTCATTCAGAGCGAGCTTACGGTGTGTGCTATGAATGGCTTTTGCAGGTCGGAGCCTCGCGAGAGGGCGCTAGCGATCTGGTCTCGGGTGGTTGAGTCCCCGTGATCATCACCCCAACGAGAGCTTCTCCAACGCGAGAAAGGACTAGAAAACAATAGGCTTCCTCATGGATAATCATCACCAAAATCGCTAACGCTGTGAGCAGGATTCGAACCTGCGCGGGGAGACCCCATTGGATTTCGAGTCCAACGCCTTAACCACTCGGCCATCACAGCCGCGTGCGACCTGGGCCCTGCGCAACTATTGCTGCCGATCAAGGGGCCGGCCTCCCGCCGCCACGCCCTCGCCGCTTCCGGCCGCCGTGCGCGCCTGCTGGAGGCGGCGTCCGCGCCTGGCCTGCGCGGCAGCCCTACGGAGGCCTCAGCTTCAGGATGCTTCCACTTTTCCCAGAGCCACAAAACGAGCCCAGATCCGAACCCAGTAGACCCCTGGTACAGTCGGGGAGAAGTGACGGTGCTCCCGAATACACACTAAAAGGGCACAGGAGTGGATGGCGGCCCAAAGAAGAATCTTAGAGATGGTTGTTCAGACCTAAACCTAGAGTCTCAGCAATAATATACAGCGACCCCAGGCACCGCTGGGATTCGAACCCAGGATCTCCTGTTTACTAGACAGGCGCTTTAACCAGCTAAGCCACGGCGCCAGTGGAGGGCGAGTTCGATCTCAACTTAGATCAGGTGTTACTTGGTGCCGGTGACCAAAGACTGTAGGGCGCCTCCCGTGATGTACACCTTATTTCCCTTTCAGGTTTCAAGCCCCAGCGTTGACACTCCACCCTTCCCTTCTCCAAGCTCCGCGGAGGCCAGCTTGACCTTCAATGGGCCCGGGCCTCCTGTGCCTCTGCCACCTGGACTGACTTCATCTGTGGTAATCATGAAGCTAAAAAAGCAGCTAAATACCCTTTGCTAAAACCAGGGCATCATGGGGGTTCAAAGAGCCTTTGCCACCCCGCCCATAACTGGAGCTTGCCAGAACCCTTAGCTGCCTCTCATCGATCCTTCCCAGGACAAACCGGGGAAGGAAACCTGGTGAAAACCGAGTTTAAGTGTAGATTTAGCTGGTTTAGAAAGGCCCTTGCTGGAAAGCCTGTGGACAGGAGAGGACGCGAGGTTTATTTGCAACAGCTCACTACTGCTTTCTTCAGGGCAACTCCCCCTCCTCACCCAAACCCAAAGCTTCATTCCACAAATCCTGTTGGTTTTTGTTTTGTTTTGTATTAAAAATAATAAGACACAATATCAAAAACACAAATGCCATTGGTAGAGGGTAGAGCTGAGAACGCCTGGGTCCCACCTGAGGGGCAGCACCAGGGACTCCATGGTCCACCAACTTCCTCCACCCTGGAGCAGCTAGGGGTTCAAACCCCTGGGTCCTACTTGGGCCCCAAGCTCCCCTCCTCCCATCTGAAGAGGAGGCAGGAGAGAGAGCTGTCTTCCCCAATAAATAAGTGCGGCCCCAAATTTCAGACTGGGACTCAGGCTCAGCTGGGATTTGGAGAGACCACTTCAGCAGCTTGTTAGCAATCTCATCCAGAGAAAGAAAGGACTCCTCACCAGGGCGTAGGTGGCAGTCTTCTGGGCTGGACTGAAAACTTCCACCTTCCTGTTCTCTAAGGGTCTCCAGAGGCAGCCCCTGGATCCTGGGCTGGTGATGGGGGTCCTGCCCCCGACAGTGGGAGAAGCTGGGGAGGTTTTCTATTGGTTGGTCCAGCAACATCTGAGTTCTAGGAATTGCAACATGGGAGAAGGAAGCCTCTCATGGGCAGCTGGAAGTGGCCCTAAATGGAGTCTAGCTAGTGCCATTTTCTGTAGCAGGTAAGGCTGGACTGGGTGAGCTCCCACCTTGCTCTTCCTCCTCCATGGCAGAGTCCTGAGAACTTGAGACCTTGGCCTCAACGTGGGCCTGAGTCTCCTCACTGACCTCACCCTCACCACCACCATCATCATCACCACCACCACCACCACTACCACCACCCTCGCCTCCGCCCTCCTCCATAGGCTCCAGCCCCAGTCCATCCAGCTCAGAGAAGAGTGGTTCATCAGAGTGGCCAGGGTCTTGGGTGCTGCTACCACAGTCCACACAGGCCTGGGAGGGAAAAGGGAGATGAATGTATTAGGCAGGGTCCTCACTGGGAATCTGCCAGCCCACTTCCCACACCCAACTCAACAGTGATCCCCAACAAATTGGCTCTTGCAAATGTACCTAGGGTCCAAGGCTTGAAAAGCCCTAGGACCCTCTACCCAGATCCCCAACTATGTGACGGTCACAGTGTATGTTGGCATAGGATGTGCTGAAAAAAAAAATCTACAAACACTCAGGTGGGGACTAGGAATGTGGCTCAGTGGTAGAGTGCTTGCCTAGCACGCCTGACGCCCCAGGTTTGATTTCTTAGTACCACATAAACAGAAAAAACTGGAAGTGGTGCTGTGCCTCAAGTGGTAGAGTGTTATGTTAGCCTTGAGCCAAAGAAGGTCAGGGACAATGCCCAGGCCCTGAGTTCAAGCCCCGAGACTGGCAAAAAAAAAATCTCAGGTGGCTTAATATTATATAATCCAGATGACTGCATCCTTCAGAATTAATAATCCAAGGATCCAGGCGTTGGTGGCTCACACCTGTAATCGTAGCTACTCAGGAGGCTGAGATCTGAGGATTGGGATTCAAAGCCAGCCCAGGCAGTTTGAAAGTCCATGAGACTTATCTCCAATAAACCACTCAGTCAAATGCAAGTACTGTTGTGGCTCAAGAGGTAGAGCGCTACCTTGAGCTGAAGAGCTCAGGGACAGCACCTAGGCCCAGAGTTCAAGCCCTATGACCAAAAAAATACTAATCATCCAAGGACATTGGGTCAGTTTCTTAGATCTTTTTTCCTTCCTTCCACAAAGCTAGTAGCACTCTATCACTTTAACCATGGTTCTACTCCTGGCTTTTTGGTGATTAATTGGAGATAAAAGTCTCATTAACTTTCCTGCCCATGTCTTCAAACAGTGAGCCTCCTAAGTAGTTAGGATTACAGGCATGACCCATTAGCACCTGGTTAGTTTTTAGCTGCTCCTTTTTTTTTTTTTGGGGGGGGGGGGGTTCCGGTCATGGGGCCTGAACTCTGGGCCTGGGCATTGTCCCTCGGCTCTTCAGCAAGACTAGCGCTCTACCACTTGAGCCACAGTGCCACTTCTGGCTTTTTTTCTTTTTTGCTTATGTGGTGCTGAGGAATCGAACCCAGGGCCTCAGGCATGCAAGGCAAGCGCTCTACCACTGAGCCACCTTCCCAGCCCCCACAGCTGCTCCTTTTGTGTATGTCCTGGTCCTGGGGCTTGATCTGAAGGCCCCGAATGCTATCCCTGAGCTTTACTGCTCAAAGCTTAGCACTCTACCACTTGAGCCACCGCTTCACCTCTGGTTTTTTGGGTGTCTAATTGGAGGTAAACATCCCATTTCTTTCTGAGGCTGGCTTTGAACTTTGAGCCTCAGATCTCAGCCTTCTAAGTAGGATTACAGGTGTGAGCCACTAGCAGCCTGCACTTTAGTTTCTACCTCTTGAATTGGTTTGGTTTTTCTCTTCTGTTTGCTTGTTTTTGTTGGCTGTGGGGCTTGAACAGCCTTGGCGCTGTCCCTGAGCTCTTCAGCTGAAGGCAAGTGCTCTACCACTTGAGCCACAGTGCTTCTTCCTCTACTTCCAGTTTTGTGGTGGTTTATTTATTGGAGGTAAGAGTCTCACGGGCTTTCCTGCCCCAGCTGGCTTTGAACTGTGATCCTCAGACCTCAGCCTCCTGAGTAGCTGGGATTACAGGCCTAAACCACCAGCACCCAGCTTATGTTTGTTTTTTAAACTATCTTTTTTTGTCTTTTTTTTTTGGTACTGGGGATCGAACCCAGGACAATGCACTTTTGCCACTGAGCTCCATCCCAGCCCTTATCTTTGTTCAACTTCAGTTTTTTCTTTGTCTCAGAATTCTCTTACCATCACATCAAGAGCTCGAGGCAGCTGGCCTTTCCGAACCCAGGAATGCACAGCACCCAGCTCCCGCCGCTGGTCCTCTGAGAACCGAGGCTGCTGCTTCTGCATAGCCCGAAGTCGCTCCCGGTCCTGCTTCAGCACAGAGGCCATGTCCCTGTGTGGGGAAGGTAGAAGCTGGGACCCAGAGCCACAATCCATGGGTAGGCGTCCCTCTCTCAGAGCTCCTCTGCCTTCTGCTCCATTTCTGAACCCAGGAGGCAACCAAGACCAGGATATCTGGTCTCCTCCTAGGAGGAATTACTCATGGGGCTCCTAGGGACAGGGGATAGGAAGGGTACCCCTAGGTCAGAGCCAGCCCTAAGGGTTGGCCCAGCTAATTAGCTGGGCAGTGAAGATAGGGGCCTCTGTGGCTGCTCACCTGGAGGGTACCTGGTAGGTCATCATGACACGCTGGTCAGCATTGGCCATGAGCAGCCAGATGGGATCCTGGAGCACATACTTAATGACCTGGTCTCCAGGCTCAGCCCTCGCCTGAGCAGCCCCAGCCTCAGCCTCTGAAGAGTCAATGCTGCCGAAGTACTTGCTTGTATGGCTGCTCTGACTGCTGCCTGTGAGATGGGAACAAGCCAATGGAACCAAGCCAGATAGCCAGCCTCAGGGTCACCAGGCCACACATCTAGGCCATAGGCCTTAACTGGCTAACTGGCTATGCCAAGATAGATGGGGCCTGGCTTCCAATCTCCATTATACCCAGGGAAGGTCTGGAGGGTAGGCACTCACGCGTGAGGCTGGCGGAGGTGCTACCCCCTTCCTGGGAGCCAGAACCAGACCCAGAGCCCAAGCCAGAGCCCAGGGAGCCTGAGGCTGCAGATCCTGTGCCAGATCGGGAGTCCTCTTGCAGCAGCAGCTCTAGCAGGTCACTAGAGCCAGACAGCGCATCCTGATTGGAGAACTCAGTTGCCTCCGCCTAAAGGAAGAGAGGAGAGGGGAACAGAGAGGATCTAAGGGCTCAGCTTTCCTTCAACTGCTTCTGCCAGGGTTTAGGGCAGGGGACACACCCAACCCAAGAGGTCTCAGGCTTCCCACTCCATAACAGGGAGCCAGGCTGAGAGGAGAGAGCTGAGGAGAGGGGAATGAGTGATGCCGGACCCTTTCCAAGTGGCAGATGCGCTCTCAGAAGTTACAAGGATGTCCTCGCCACCTGTCAGACAGACAGGACAGTCCCTTCACAGAGGAGGTAGTTGATTTCTGTCTCATTTAGAAATTCAGCTGGGGGCGGGGGAGGGAGGTCTCCCACCCATGACACCATCTCTAGGAGGCTGTGACATCAGCCTGGGAGAAACCAGTGGAGGAACATCACCAGGCAGGGGGGCTAGCTGTGGGACACAGGGAGGTCAGTGCTCACCAGTCTGGCCTCTGGCTCAGCGGCCTCCTCACTGGGAGGGGGGGCCCCAGCACTGCTCCCCGGGCCTGCTGCAGCAGCAGCCCCCTCCATGCGTGGAGGCTCCTCAAGCTGCAGCAGGTTGAGCTGGAGTGGGGAGCTGCATCTTGAGTTGAACAGTGGGGAGTCTGGGCGGTGCACGGGACTGGGGGGGAGTGGAGGCAGAGATGGGGAAGGCGAGTGGGAAGCGGGAGTAGGAGGCCCCTCAACAGGGATCTGGGGGACCCCATAGGGATAGCTGGGTGGGGTGGGAAATAGGTAGTTAGGGAGTACCAAGGCTACCACGGGGGTCACAAGTGGGGAAGGGAAAGCAGTCGGGGACACAGAGTTGGGGACAGAGAGAGGTTGAGAGCCTCCTCGAGGAGAGAACACTGGGAGAGGGTAGGGCTGGACCACTGCTGGGAAGGGAGTAGAGGCTGGTGGAGGGGGCCAGGAGCCAGAAGGGGGCACAGATGAGGGGTGGGAGACACAGCAGGGGGCTTCGGCCCGGGGAATCTGGTGGTGGCGTGAGCGCTTGGCTTTGGATCGGCAGTGGTGTCGGCGGCCAGGGGGTGCAGGGCCATGGTGGCAGCCTGTAGAGAAAGACCAGGGTTAGGAAGGGCCCCTGCCTGACAGAGTTCATGCCTCTGCCACCCCCACTGCCCTAACACTCTTGACAGAGAACAGGCATCAAGGCCCAGACAGAGCTTCTCAGCTTGCCCAGAACAGAGGTGACATGGGAGGTTGGGGCACCTTCAGGGAAGAATCACAGGAGCCAGGGACATGGGGGTTTATTGAGAAAGGAGCCAGAAAATGGCAAGGTTACATTAGGGTCAAGCTGATGGTGTGCAAGAGGCGGGGGTGTGCTGGGATGGAAAGTGGCAGGAAGAGTTCATGGGCGAACGGGCAGGTGGCTTCAGTCCATTTGCCAAACTCCCGCAGGCGCTGCCAGCCTGGGTACTCCTTTTGCCAGTCGAGACCATGCTCCGCCTAGCTTCCAATGAAGTGAAGAGGTGGGCGAGAATGCCCACGCCTGAGTCCTGAGTCCTGCAGCCATCTGCACGGAGCCTCCCTCAGGCACCTTCCATCTGCCCTTGAAGCCTAACTCCATTCACCATTCGTGAGACAGGCTCCTAGATGGGTGTACTTTCTACCCCTGCCCCCAGGCTAGGCCTGAAATAGCTTACCTGGAACACAGCCCCTCCACCCTCTGTCTCAGAACCAGCTCCCCCAGGCTTTCTGAACATCTCCCTTAAGGCCCTCCCCCGACAGTTGGCCTTAGACTAGGCAGAAGGCAGCTCAAGGAAGCCCCAGATGGCTACCTCGCTCCCCAGGGGCTGAGGGGGCTACAGAAGAGCTGTCAAGCCCACGAAGCCTGCCGAGGTCTCGGAATCGGCTGAGAAAGGCTTGCTCCTCCTTCTGTGTGTGCAGGGACAGCACAGCCTTCGTCAGGCCCACTGGGCGGTAGGCATCCGGGGCTGGGTCAGGGGCTACTGTGGGGCTGGGGGCCGGGCTGGGGGCTGGTCCTGTGGCTAGGCTAGGCAGGTCTTCCATCATGACAATGTCTGAGAAAGGTAGAGAGAGAAAAGGTCATCAGAATATTTCAGGGGTCAACATACCCACACCACACCCTCCCTTGTCTAATACCCTAGCTTAACCCTGGCCTCTGCCCCACCTCCAAACTTGGGCCTCCACTGGAAGGTCAGGCTACTTCCTCAGTTAGAGGAAGGGGGTTGACCCTGGACCTTCTTCCTCAACATGCTAAGCTGTCCCAAGGGGACAGAGGATACACAATTCCCCTCTAGTGGCCATTACTCTGTGAAGAACCCTTGGGGATGACCCCTTCAAAAGTTCTCTTTTAAGGGAATCCCACCCCTTATTCTTCCTTCACACGTTTTAGAAGCCAATAACCAAAGGGTTTTTTTTTTAGGGGTCTTCTAAGATCCCTTGCCTCATACCCTCTGTGGTCAGCACCTCAAGCTTGAAACCCTCTATGCCACAGACTTTATGTTTCAAGTAAGAGTGAAAATATAGGAAGCAGAATGGGGGAGAAACCCCCCTGCAAAAGTTGGGAAGATAAGCTAAAGCAGAAGCCAAGGAACAGTCAGCTAAAAGGGCAGGCCTTCTCTCCATTAGGGACAGGAGGGGGAGGGGAAAGGTAGGCAAGAAGAAGATTTGGCTGAAGGACCAAGTGGGGCCCAGACATTGCCCACCTCACTCCATGCCCATACCCGACTCCGGGGGCTTCTTGTCTCCTACATGCACGATGGTGGAGCTGAAGCTACACTGACTGGTGACGGACACCACACTCTCCGCCTTATTGGCCAGAGTGAGCGGACTCAGGGTGCCTCCCACCACTGGCTCCTTCCGAGGAGTGGCCCCCTCCCCAGACAGCACTGCCGACGAAGGATCTGTGCGGAGAGATGGCACTGGTTACTGCCCTTACCCCACTGGGAATTTAGGAGAAGGGATCCCGGGGAGGAAGGGAAAGATTGACTGTAGGGAAGAGCCTGGAGATCAGGAGGCAGGGGAGGGCAGAGCAAGGTGGGGACCCCAAGGCAGAAGTATAGAGAGACCCACGGCTGTTAGGACAGGGTGATAGGAACTGGGCATGCACTGCATCTTTACCTTTCTTGGCCCCCACAGGGACTGGACCTGTCCTCTGCTTGTCATCATCAGACGCAGAGGAGGCAGTGTAGGAGGAAGAGGAGGCACATTTACGCTTGGTCGTGCTGGGGATGTTGCAGCTTTCCAGGTACCTGGAGATGGATGGAACAGAAGGTATAAAGGCAGGGCTTGGAGCAGGGCAGAAGCAGGGCTAGGGGAGAAGATGCCAGGCAGGGCTTACCTGAGGATGCTGTCCAGGCAGTTGATCTGCTGGTAGGAACAGCTGGAGGCTTCTTTCCTCTCGGCCTCCTCAGGGGCTAAGGCAAGCGAGGCCTGGATGGGAGCAGGCGCTGCTTCCAGCTCTGGGTCAGGAGACTGGCATGGAAGGGCCTTGGCCTTGAATATGTTTGGAGCTGGGTCAGAGAGAGGAAAAGCTACATTGGTTGGGGGGTACAGGACAGGAGATTCTTGGGTCTAGCTCTTTCAACCCCACACATAGCACCGTCAACTCACCAGGGAGGCGAGGCCGGGGTGGAGGCCGGGCCCGGGACTCAATGAAGAGCTGCTGTCCCTGGTGTTTCACCAGATGGACATCCTTACAGATCTGCTGGAAAGTTACCTAGGAAACGCAAAAGAGCAGTGAGTAAGGGCTGTGGTGCCTGGCCAGCGACAGGAGCCAGGGCATAGTAATAACAACAACAACAACAACAAAAAGTACCAGTAAAGAGCTCTGGGGGGGAGGGCAGGAAAAGCCAAGGAGGAAAAGGAAAGGGAATAAGGCAAAGCTCTGGAAGTGGCCATACTGATTCCCAGGAGGCTAAGGGAGGAGCAATGAGAGCAGTGTACTACTCACTGGAGCAGGAGGCCCAGGCCCCTCGGCATCACCCCCATTGCTATCACTGGAGGAGCCAGGGCTGTGGAGAGGGCCTGGGGATGTCATAGGGCCAACACCACAGAGCCCTGTGGGGCTGGAGCTGTGAACAGGCTGGGGCAGGGAAAGGCACAGGTTAAACACCTATATCCTGTTTCCCACTGCCTTCTCTGCCTCCCAAACCTCTCTCTCCTCAACTCTTACCTGCAATAGCAGACGATGGATCTGCTCTGAGAGCTCCTGGATATCAGAGTCCAGGGACAGAGCTGGGCTGGGGGCCGGGGGAGTGAATACATCCTCATTCAGGGGTGCACTGAAGGGTGAGGAACAGTGAGTGAGTCCAATCCTGTCCTTAGTCCTGCCCCATCCCATAGTATCAATACTCATAATGCCAATTTAGGGGAAACTACCTACTTACGTGCGAACTTTGTGGCGGCCCAATACAAAAGCCACCTTACGGCTCCAAGGGTGCACAAAGCCAGCCCAACTGGTGTCCATGGTGACATATTCTCCATTACGGGCACAGAAGCGAATGGGGGAGTGGTCAAAGGGCTGCCCAGCCAGCTGTAGAACTGATGAAAGCAGGAAAAGGAGGTGAGGTGAGGGCTGCCCATAGAAATCCAGTAGACCAAACCACCAAGAAACAGCTCATAAGAACATGGAGGAAGCCCCAGGGACAGCCAGGAGGTAGAGCAGGATGAGAGAGAAACTCACTCTTCTTGTGGATGGCCAGCATGAGGGGTCGGTCCTCAGGATGGAGGAACAGGAGCACTGGGGCCCCCAGGAGGTCCTGGGGCAGGTAGCCCAGCAGTGGGGCAGCCCTGCCACAGGAAGAGGTGTCAGAGTGGACTTGGGCTCATCCCTGGCCACCCCTTTCCTCCAGATCCTGACCTCACCTTTCATCCACATCCTGGAAGAGGCAGCTGGGTGTGTGCCTTGTGGTGAAGATCCTCTTATCAGGTGGGATCCGGGGAGCTGTAGCATAAAATATGGGCTGTTATGCTTCATCCAGAATGGTCTAGTGCCTTAGATCTCCTCCTTGCCTGATACCAAGGGTGCCTGGCAATCATCTCCCCAGCTCAGCTCTGATCCCTACAGCCCAAAAACACGACTTGGGTCTTTCATGCCAGTAGCAACACTGAAAATGACCAAGATCTTCTCCAGATCACTCCTGATTCTGGATTCTTACGTGACCTGACTGACCTTTAAGATGGGCTTGAAACTCATCTGTAAAATACTCTTCTTGTTCCAAATTCCTAAGGGCCCAGATGGTTCCTCCCAGCAGACTTAAGAAGAAAATCCTCCCTCTCCCCACATTTCAGACCAGCTTTGGGTCCTACCCACCTTCATAACCCGAGTGGATGCGCTCTGCAATGAGCAGGCAGCATGGCTGCGCAGGGGCCCCGTCTGAGACCCGAATCTTGGTCACGTATGGAGTTAGGCGGAATGGCTGATACCGAGGCCCTGGATCCCGATCAGGACCACCTCTGTCAAGGGAGAGCAGAAACTTAGGAACTTTCAGTAGAATCACACCTCAGCATCAAGGTCATTCACACAACCGAGATAAGAGGGACATGCCAGTTCCTGCTTTCTCTACCTACCTGATACGGCAAAAGACAGACTTCTCCTGGGTAAAGTCCTTGAGGCCCGAACCTAGTATAAATTAGGAAGACAGTGAGTATAACCTCTCACCCCTTCCCTAGGCTAAGAAGAACCCAGCAAGGAAAAGCTTGAGTCCTAGTCTCTCAAAGCAGATGCTTCCTAGAGATGCTCATCCCTTCCCCACAAACAACTGGGCACCTCACCTGCAGAGGCCCCAGCACCCCAGGTGGGCAGACGAGATGGGGAAGTGGAGCCGTAGAAGACACCCACATCCTGGGGAGCCAGGAGCTCCGAGAAGCGGGCACCTCGGAACACGTCCCGCTTGCAACGCAGCAGGACACCTGCCTGCTCTGAAATGTAGACGATTCGGCCAGTCAGGAAGGAGACAGCCACAGAGAAGGTATCCTAGCAGAAGAACAAGAGAAGATTCAGAGCTGGGGAGGGAGGGGATCCAGATGAGGCTGTACTGGAGTGGAGGGCCTAGGTTGCAGCATACCTGGTTGCGAAGTGTGTATTCAGATGTGATGTGTTCCAGCTCCTCCAATGTGTAGGTGGACATGTCCATGGCACAAGGCTCACTTTCTTCGAGGCTCCACTGCTGGTAGTACTCCTGGTTAGCTACAGAGTGAAAAGCATGTGTGAAGAATTCAATAAGGAAGCTGACCCCCCCCCACACACACACACACAATGGCCAAGACCATGGCTACCTCCCCAGACCAGAAGCATCACTGACCCTGCACCTGCTTGACACAGGCTAGTGCATACTGTAGAGTGGCCAGGGTCCCAGAGCGGCCCTTGCCCCGACGCTCAGGTGGCAGCCTAAGCTTGAGCTCCCGAAGTGCAGTCATGAGTTCCTTCTGGGTTCTTGCTCTGGCTGACTGTTCACTACTACAGAGCCCACAAGAAAACAAGGGGTAAAGGTATTAGCTCCAGACTGCTACCCACAGCAAGAGATCTCTCCTACAGTCTTTACCCCACTCACCTGCAGCCACTGGTAGATGGGTTGTCCTGCTCAGAGCTGGCACTCAGGAGGCTATAGGCAATGGAACTACTAGGTGGGGATGGGCTCTGAGAGTTTGTGCTAGAGAAAAAGGCAACAACTCAAGATGAGAGGCAGGTGAGCGGCAGAATGGACTAGCTCAAACTTACCCAGTCTCATTCCCAAACCCTGAAGGGGACAGACAGACACACCTCTTGCTGCTCTCAGTGGTCTCCAGCAGGGCCGAATCCTTGCCATTTCCAGAGGAGGAGCTATGTGAGCTCCGTTGAGATGCACCTCTGGACTCGTGCCCATTGGACTCATTGCCGCTTGAGCCATTGCTGTTAGCATCGGTATCGTCAGCCAGGCTGGGGCCTGGGCAGGGCCGATGCTGTGGGGGTCCAGGGGATGGGACTCCTCCAGAACAAAAAGATTCTTCGGGCCTAGGGTTTCCTCCCCCATCAGCCCCTTCCAGGGGGCCACTCATAACTGGGCCATGGGGAGGAGGACAAGAGGAGAACAGAGAGGGTGGAGAAGCCACCACGGATGCACAAGGGGGCCTTGAGGCTTGATGGAGGGAGTAAAATGGAGATCTGTCGCTGGGAGTTGAAAAGTGCGATCACAGCAAGTACCTGGAGTGAAGAGACCAGGAAAAAGGGGCTTGGAGAAAGTCCCACAGCACCTGCTGGCTTTATTCAGACCCTTTGCTGCCTGATTCTCACTCCTAGAACCCAGGTGTAAGGCTCGAAATCGGAAGCCAGGTAAGTTTTGTTTTCTGTCTCCGCAGGTGTGCCGCGGTGGGGAAGGGACCTCTCTCGGGCTGGTCCCTACATCCCCTGCCGGCACGCAGTAGGTAAATGGAACCTGGGTAGGAGGCTTGAACTACTGGCTGTGGGCAAAGCCTGGAGGTTTCCCATCCTCGGGTTCTGCATCAGACCTTGGGACTAGCCCTGGGACTCCGAGGCCGCGGCGCAGAGGGTGCGAGCCCATAACCTCCTATATTTAGGCTTCCGGGCTAAATTTATCCGGGGGCGGCACCACCCCCGCTGCACATGCGCACCGCTGTGCGCGGCCCACCACGCGCTTCCGCCGCCGCCGCTGCTGTGGTCGCCAGGGAAACCGACGTCAGCCGCTGAGCTCAGCGGTTGCTGGAGGGACCACTGGAGGGTGGGAGGGGCGACCCCGCTCCGATTCCACCGCGGAAGTGGGGGAACAACCCACTCCCACGCTGGCGGGCACGACCGGGGGTCGCCCACTCTTCACATTCGCCCAGGTCCCAGGCAGCTCTGTGAAGAGGAACAACCTATAGGGAATTCCAAGGGCTGCTCCTGGCCTCCCTGGGGCGAAACAATCGTGCACCCCCCCCCACACACACACTCAGGCTCTCCCCGGGACGCTGCCATTCAGGTCAAGACGACACAGCCTTTCTTTCTCTGGCCTGTCACCCGCCCAACCACGGGGAGCCGAAGCAGGCACCTGCCACACAGTCAAGAACCCAGACACGCTCTCCTCACCCCCTACTTTGCTAGCCGCCTCCCATCCGATCCCCGAAACCCGAAGACTTGGGCAGGGAACAATCACCAGCAGTTTTTTCCCCTACTACCCGTCCAACCACACCCCCATCCCCTAGCATTTTTCTGAGTGCCAGAAGAAAAGGCTGTGGCCAACAGTGGGAACTAGCGCCTGGAACGGGATGTTCCAGCCCGAAGCGGGCTGACATCACGGCCCGGCGCGGGGCCAGGGACTGGAGGGGGATGGTGTGGAACGCCGAGAGCCTTAAAGGATCCTATCCTGGGGAAAACCCGAGAGCCTCCGAGTGATGAGCATGGAGGTGGGAGTAAGACATGCCCGCTTAGGGTCTGTCGTACGACCAGGATGTCCAAAACTGGAGGTAGGGGCCATATGAGCGGATCGGGAGTGAGGACACCCGGTGCAGGATTGCAAGGACCCCCTAGGTCCCGGGAGGCAGGGAAGGGATAGACCGTGACAAAGAAGGCGGTAAAATTATTGTGCTATGTAAGCACCTGGGCTGAAAGTGGCCCATCAGGTTGAAAGTGGAGGTGGCCCCGCTCAGGGACAGAAACCAGGCCTCAGAGTAGCTGTGAAGGATGCCTACCTGGTGCTGTTCGAGCGCCCTCCAGCCGCCTGCCCGCTGCCGTTCCAGCCCGCAACCGAGTAGGAGCTCCGCGAGGCGGGGAGGCGGGTTGCATAATGCCAGGCACTGCCCCTCATTGGCCTCCTGCCCGCTGAGCCACAGGCCCCGCCCCCAATCGGCTGGGGAGCTTGTCCCGGCGCCTGATTGGCTACAGGCCCCCACTGAGGTCAGGGCTGTGTCACACACACAGGCGCACGTGGACCTGGGTGCTGGCGCTGGACGGAAGGGCTTCAGACACTGCCCAGCGAATGGGTGCAGGATGCCTTGCATAGTGCATAATAAAGAGGAAATGAAGGGAGGGGAGCTGCCCCTCTTCAGGCCACAATGGGTGTTTAAGAAATAGACGTCTAAGCGCTGGGTTCAGAACTGACCAGCTTAGAGGAACTAGACACTTCAGGCTTGACCAGATAGGAAAAGGAACATAGATCCTGAGAGCTGAATCAAGCTGGATGAAATGGCTGCCCTCTGACAGAGACAGAAACCTGGCTTGGCGTTTCCTAGGTTCTTCCCAGCCTTGTCATCAAATACAGTCCCTTCCTCTAGTACTTCAAATCTCGGTAGGAGAGTAATTCACAGTCCACGTGTGATTGAAAAGAAAAAGTGTTGGGAGGATGAAGACAATGGAAACGGCAGCCAGAGCTACTGGAGATTGTCACGCAAAACAACAGTAGGTGCTTCAATGGCCAATCAGAGAAAAGGGCTCTAAGCAGCCAACTTGGTGGCTAGTGTTTCTTCTCTCTAGAAGATCTGGCCACCCACTATTGGGGGTGCGGGGGCTGGCAAAGATAGGGAATAGGAAGCCAGGCTACATAGGGAGGAAGTGGGGGCAGAGAAAAGAGGCCAGCTGGGGCCCTATACAGAAAATGGTATGAGAAGTGCTTCATAGGCTCATTATTTGGAACCCAACGAGCCCAGAAACCATCTCATCTGTCTCACCTACTTTACATTCACCAGACAGGATCTGACACATGGTCCGTGATTATAAGCAAATAGTTTTGTTTCTAACAATAATAGGTATGGAAAAGGAGCTTCAGGGGTGAATAGAAAGCTACATTTTAAGGAAGAAAAAGCAGAGCACTGACAGAAGATGAGGAGGAAGAGGAAGAAGAAGAGCTTGACTAGGGAGAATAAGGTGCCAATCTAGGCCCAGAAGAGCTGAAGTGACAAGTCCTTCCATCTAGGACTACATGAGTAGTTCTTTCGGGGGCTCACAGGAAACGTGGGTAGCAAGCCAAGAGGCCCTCAAACAGCTGCCGACTTAATCAGCTGTAAGTGCACGCCCCTCGCTGTCACGTGGCCTAAACCTTCTTCAACAATGGCGTTTCCCACGGGGTTGGGGGGGGGGGGAAGCTCCGAGAAAAGCTGGGACACAGGGACATTATAAAATAACCCAGAAAAACCAACTCCGGAAAACAAAGGAGTAGTCAAGATTCTCAGCCTCTCCTTGAAAATATTTCCCCCGTCCAGCTCCCATACTGTGGCCCAGTCCTCCTGGATTTTTAAAAATCCTCTTCTCTGGAAACAGTTTTTCTCCCTCCCCACCTCTCCTCAGGGATTTCGATGTGATCTCCTCTGACCCAGGCACTCCTAGCTCGCCCATTTCCACCTCCATATCTGTCTTTTGCATAGACAAAAGGTTTCGGCGCTCCAGCAGCCCCCACCTGCTCCCAAGGCCCCAGTTATCCTGTCTCACGGTCCCCACAGTAACCAGGTTCTGCTGCCGTCAATGGAGGCGAGAGGGGGCGGGAGACAGCGGTGACGTCAAAGCGGAGGAAGAAGGCGGGGCGAGGCAGCCGGGGAATGTGGGGCAGGGAGGCTGGAGAGGCAGCGGTTTGGGAGCTGGCCAGCCCCAGAGGGCGGCGGCCAGCGCACTTGGGAACATCGTGTTCTCTTGGCTGGTGGCCCAGGACATGCACTCAGTTTAGGCGCCTCCCCCCACCCAACGACCGCCGTCCAGTCCCAAAGCCAGGGATTCCTGGAGAGAGGGTTAGAAGCAAGGGGTCTCACCTCTCCCACCTCAACGTCTGGTTCTCTGTTTGGTACTCAAAGCTGCCCACCCTTGGACTTGTCCCTACAGCTCCTGGCACTAGCTTTCCCTCCGCTAAACTGTACACAGCTGTTGGCCCAGTACAGATAAATTCTGCGAGGGAACACAAGCACCTTTGCTCCTACCCTGAGGCCTCCTTCAGTGCCTGAATCTCCGGTTGCTATAACAACAAAGGGAGGAAAGAAAGGAGGGAGGGAGCAGGGACAGGGAGGAGAATGGGTCTAGGATGAAGAAATCAAACTGGGACAGAGCAAGTAGCCCAGTCTGGAGCTGAGATCCTGAGAGAGAGATAGAGGGGGAGGAGTGGAGGAATTTGTGCTGCTGCCTGAAGACCAAAAGAATCAGGAAGAGGGAAACAGCCATCAAAACTTGCAGAAAAATCTAAGAATGTGAAACTAATTCCCAAATACAACATCCACATAAATTACGCTGTCACTGCTGTTTTGTCACCCTATTACTAATTTTTAAAAAAATGATCCAGGCATTGTGCTGAACACTTTACATATATTACACATAATTTTATTGAATTCCCAGAACAACCCTGTGAGCTGGATGTTATTACTCCCATTTTACAGCAGACAACTAGGGCTCAATGGTTACTTAAAATCACAATTGTCGGTCTTGTAACATATTCTCAGCCCCCTAACAAATGGAGTCCAGGTTTCAAATCTGAGTTATAATGATGGCTTGTTATTCTGGCTTCTCCCCCTCAGTAACCTTCCCTCAACTAGCTTCTAAGTTGTATTCCAGCACTGACAAACTTGGACCTTTCAAACATTTGTAACACAGAGTCCATCCAACTCTTCTCCTTTGGGCTTGCTCTCAAGACATAGTTTGTACTTCTTACACATTTATCTTTAGAACTCATTTTCTCCATGCTCCAAAACTCCTTGAAATCACCGTAGAAACTCTCAGCCCCAACCATTTTGTAGGAACCTAAATCCCTCACTCTTCCACTTTTTTTTTTTTTTGGGTCCGGTCGTGGGGCCTGAACTCTGGGCCTGGGCGCTGTCCCTCAGCTCTTCAGCTCAAGGCTAGCGCTCTACCACTTGAGCCACAGCGCCACTTCCGGCTTTTTTTTCTTTTTGCTTATGTGGTGCTGAGGAATCGAACCCAGGGCCTTGAGCATGCAAGGCAAGCGCTCTACCACTGAGCCACCTTCCCAGCCCCTCACTCTTCCACTTTTAAGTGGCCTTGTTCCAGGCTGCTTTACCACAAGCCTGTTTGTTTATAGACACCGGAGCATCTCTTCTGTGCCTCCTCACCTCTACTGGCTCAAGAAGACTGCAAATCTGCACAAACCCCTATTCCCTCACAGAACTCAACAACTGCCACCTCATCTGTTTCTCAAAGAAGGTTCTGAAGCCCAAATCCTACCCTTTGCCTATGGGAGACACGCATAGCTGCTGTAAGATTAGCTCTGGGTCACATATGTCAGCACACTACCCTTTCTCAAAGCACTATCGTAACCCTTCTTACCTGTCTACCTACCCTATTAAGGCCTCTCTCAGCCTCAGACTTAAGGCGCCTTCAGCCACACATTATAACATCCCCCCCACACACACACACACACAAGCTCTCAAGGGTTCCACCCCTGTACCTCCTTAGGAGCAGGGGCTTCATTCGGTTCATTCAGCATTCTAAGCACTCCCTGCTTGGCAGTTGGGTCCAGACATCCTAGAGCCGTGCGGGAATCTAATGTCGTTAACTCCCACTCTAGGGCTCTGAATTCGCGGTCCCGATTTTCCACACCCATAACTGAGACTCGGTTGAAGGAGATCACATATTTGCATAATCCCACCCCTCATACCATTAACACCGCTTCTGGCCAAGTACTCTTATCGAGCACCCCTTACCTCCCTACCCCAGGCACTCACCGATCGGAGCGCACACAGGAGCCGAATTTCTTCACAACTGGGACGTACAGTAGCTACACCACAGGCTTCTCCAGCCCGCCCACCGCCAGGGATGCCACGCCCCCCAATGCTTATTGGTTTAGAGGAGCTATCCCATGCACCGCGCCGCGTGCAGCCGATCCGCCCCAGTAAAGCCTCTATTGGCAACACTTTCCGCCATCATCTTTTCATTGGCCAGTTCCACAACTGTTAGTGATAGATACACGTGAGGGAGGGGCCGCCCCAGCGCGTTGATTGGAAGTCTAAACGGAAGCCACTCCCCCACCCACTCTCTAAGTTACTATTGGCTGTGGAAACAACCCCGACCTGCCTAGGTCGGTGACGCACGTGCCGGTCCTGCCCTCTAAACTTTCTGATAGGCTGAGAGGTCCCGGAGATGTTCGGGACACGTGCAGGCGGCCTCACGCGGCAACTTGTTTACCCAGAAGCTGGGGATTTTCCTTGACGACACTTACCCAAGATTGCTGAGTCTGCGCAGGCGCATTGAGAGCGCGACTTGTGCGCAGGCGCAGATGTAAGAAGCGGTGGCGTAGGTGGGGACACTAACTAGAAAACCAGGCGTGACAAGTGTGCTCCTGTGGGCGCCCTGCGTTTACGACGATTCCCCAAAGCTGTACGGCGAAGCACTTGGGTGAAATGGTCTTTAGAGCTCAGCGCCTGACCAAGATGAAGGCGGTAAACACTACAGTCTCCTCGTGATTGTCACTTGAGGGCCAGTCCAGGCGAAAGTTTCTTGCAAACCTCAAGAAGGCCTGATCGCTTACTATCCACCCCCTCACAAGTAAGACTGAGATCCCGAGAGATTACATAATATTAAATTAACATGATAGTCAATAATGGGGCTAAAACTTAAACCCAGGTCCCAGACACCAAAAGTATGTCCTAGGACCTGTGGAAACCCAATATATACAAGGGATTCAGGAGATAAAGCACATGTCCCCAGCATACAGTAAGTCCTCTATAAATGTGGAAATTACTGTAGACTATACCCAATTATAAGATCACCTGGCCGGGCATCGGTGGCTCACGCCTGTAATCCTAGCTACTCAGGAGGCTGAGATCTGAGGATTGATGTTAAAAGCCAGCCCAGGCAGGAAAGTCTCTTATCTCCAATAAACCACTCTGAAAACCAGAAGTGGTGCTGTGGCTCAAGTGGTAGAGCACTCACCTTGAGCTGAAGAGCTGAAGGACAGCACCTAGGCCCCATGACCAACAAACAAACAAAAAGTCACCTAGGCTCCTTAGATCCTCTGAATTAGACTCTCCAAAAAAAGAGGCCAATAAATCTATTTTAAAAAGTATCCCTGCCAAGCCTGTAATCCTAGCTACTCAGGAGGCTGAGATCTAAGGATCATGGGTCAAAGCCAGCCTAGGCAGGAAAGTTCATGAAACTCATCTCCAATTAGCCACCGGAAATCCGGAAGTGGCACTGTGGCTTAAGTGGTAGCATTGTCCTTGAGCTGAAGAGTTAAGGAACAGCACCCAAGCCCAGAGTTCAAGCTCCATGACCTACATGCCACCTCCCCTCCCCCCCCCAAAAAAAATAATAAAGTATCCCTGGGCCAGGCATGGTAGTGACTGGGATTATTCCTGTCATCCCTGCAACTTTGGAGGCTGAGGCAAGAAAATGAAAAGTCTGAGACTAGCCTGGGCTCCCTAGTGGGACCCTATCTAAAAGAACCCCTGGAAAGCCAGGCCCCAGTGTAATCATACCATCTCCAGGGGCTGATATCTGTGGATGGAGACTGGAAGCCAGCCCACACAGGAAAGTCTGTGAGACTCTTATCTCTAATTAATCATCCAATAAGCTGGTAGTAGAGTTGTGGCTCAAGTGGTAGAGCACTAGCCTTGAGCACAAAAGCTCAGGGACAGCACTCAGGTCACATTGAAGCACCAGGATTGAAAGCACAAGTGTGTGCGCATGCGCAGGGGCACAAACACAAAAACAGAACCTCTGGAAGTTCTAAAAGCTTTTGGGAAACAATATATAGGCTTCCTATACACCTTGATCTTAGTGATGAGCTCTGAGGCTGGACCTCAAGAGTTCAATTAGGAGCCTTTGTCCATAGTTGAAGAACCTAGGGTCCTGTGCTGGTGGCTCACACCTGTAATCTTAGCTACTCAGGAGACTGATATCTTCAGATTTCCATTCCAAGACAACCAGGGCAGGAAAGTCTGTGTGTGTCATCTCCAATTAACCACCAAAAATCCATAGGTGGAACTTTGGCTCAAGTGGTAGAGCACTAGCCTTGAGCAAAAAAGCTCAGACAGTACCCCAGCCCTAAATTCAAGCTCCAGGACTAGCACAAAAACAAAGAGCCTATGGGGCTGGGAAGGTGGCTCAGTGGTAGAGCGCTTACCTTGCATGCATGAGGCCCTGGGTTCGATTCCTCAGCACCACATAAGCAGAAAAAAAAAAAAAAAGCCGGAAGTGGCGCTGTGTCTCAAGTGGTAGAGCACTAGCCTTGAGCTGAAGAGCTGAGGGACAGCGCCCAGGCCCAGAGCTCAGGTCCCATGACCGGACCCCCAAAAAACAAAGAGCCTAGACTGGGAATGTCACTTAAGTGGTAGAATGATTGCCTAATGTGCACGAAGCCCTGGTTCAGTACCATATAAACATAAAAAGCCAGCCAGGTGCCAGTGCATCACGCCTGTAATCCTAGCTACTCAGGAGGCTGAGATCTGAGGATCACCCCGGCCTGGGCAGAAAACTCCATGAAACTCTACCTCCAATAAACTACCAGAAAACTGGAAGTGGCACTGTGGCTCAAGTGATAGAGTGCTAGCCTTGAGCACAGAGAGGCTCAGGGATGGTGCCCAGGCTCTGAATTCAAGTCCCAGGACTAGCAAAAAATAAAAAGAGCCAAGGGGCATGGATTATGGGATGCCTCATCAGGAACAAAACAGACCTAGAGCTTTGGGAGTTTAGGATAAGATCTAGAGTCACAAGTCATAAAACAGAGTTCAAGAGTAATATGTCTTTTTTTTTTTTTTTGGGTCCGGTCATGGGGCCTGAACTCTGGGCCTGGGCGCTGTCCCTCAATTCTTCAGCTCAAGGCTAGCGCTCTACCACTTGAGCCACAGCGCCACTTCCGGCTTTTTTCTTTTTTCTTATGTGGTGCTGAGGAATTGAACCCAGGGCCTTACGCATACAAGGCAAGCGCTGTACCACTGAGCCACCTTCCCAGCCCTTTTAAATGTGATTTTTTTTTTTTTTGGGTCCGGTCGTGGGGCCTGAACTCTGGGCCTGGGCGCTGTCCCTCAACTCTTCAGCTTAAGGCTAGTGCTCTACCACTTGAGCCACAGCGCCACTTCTGGATTTTTTTCTTTTTGCTTATGTGGTGTTGGGGAATCGAACCCAGGGCCTCATGCATGTAAGGTAAGCACTCTACCACTGAGGCACCTTCCCAGCCCCCGGTAATATGTCTTGTATAGTCAGTATCATGCCACACTCAGCTGGATCTCCAATCAAACTTTCAATAAGAATTTATTAACCATGGGCTGGGAACATGGCTTAGTGGTAGAGTGATTTCCTAGCATTCATTAAGCCCTGGGCTCAATTCCTCAGTATCACATAAATAGAAAAAGCCATAAGTGGCATTGTGGCTCAAGTGTTAGAGTGCTAGCCTGGAACTCAAGGACAGTGTCCAGGCCCTGAGTTCAAGCCCCAGGACTGGTCCAAAAAAAAGAAAAAAATAATTTATTAACCACTCTGGCCATCAGCAATGTGCTCGAAAGGAAAGAAATGCTTCCTGGAAGTGATCATCTACTTCTGGCCTAGCTGAATGACCATGGGAACAACCACTTCGAATCTAAGTGAGAGGAGGAAGGGAGGTGTGACTTGGTAACCCAGATCCAGACTGCAGATTTCACCAGACTCTTAAGACATAGGGGTCCTAGTGACATTTCCCATTACCGACTCCTAGTGCCTCCTTCCCACCCAATAGGCACTTTCGAGAATCACACTAGGCACTGCCCAAGGTTAGGAAGGCCTGCAGAGCCCAAACCTTTACCCTTGTACTTACAAGTCCTTATTGCTGTTTAAGAAATGATCTTACAACAGACAACACTTAGTTACTCATTACACATTTATTGTACATTTTCACAATCTGGATGCGCCACAGAATTGGGGGTATGGGTGGGGAAAGAGGGAAGGCAGGGGACACTGGGATAATATGGGGGGTCTAGAACACAGCACCCCCACCCCCAGCATCTCTCCTACCCTTTCACACAACAGTTTAAATCTCCCTGCTCCCCCTCCACACAGTGTGGGGGGATAAAGAGTTTGGGGGCCCCGTCCAGTGGTAGGTTAAGGGACTTCACCCTCAAACCCCTAAAACTGTGCCATTTAGTAAAAAGTCATTAGACCCTTCTTCCTCTTATAACTTCACCTAATGAAAGGACAGCTCTCTCGCTCTCTCACGCTCTCTCTCACTCTCTTTCTCTCTCTCTCTCTGGGCTCAACAGCCCTGGAGAGGGGTGAGGAGCCCCATCATCCAGCAAGACCATCCACACATTGGCAGTGACTAGTATCCCCACCCTGAATACAGGGTGGCAGTCAGAGGAGCTGGGCAGTGATGGGAGCAACATCCCCCAAATTGGGGAGGCAGGATTTCAGTCCAACCTCTAACACGGGTGAAGCTAGAGGTTTCAGGCAGGAACTGGGGGGATTCTCTGCCTTTTCCCACTCCTCCCGCAAGGCAGTGATGACCCCCTCCCCCATACACTGGTAGCCACCCCTCCCAAAAGAGATCAGATTGTAGCCAACCCCCAACTCTCCTGGTGGGAGGAGGAGGTGGATCAGGCAGATGGGAGGGAGGAAAACCCCATGGGAATGTCAGTTAAGTGCCCCCACATGAAAACTGGGGAGCAGGAATGTAGGGAGAGACCCCAAGTGGCAGAATTATTGGTCCATCATAACACACTGAACTCCAAGACACTTACACACCAGCTGGGGGAGGGAGCAAAGGATACAAGAGGTCTGGAAAATGGAGGTAGGAGAGGTAAACTGGACTAGAGGGGCTAGGAAGGGACAATTCTGGGGGCCAGAGCAGCCTGGTTCCCCCAAATCCCAGGTTCCCCACCACCTGCAAGTAATGTCGTGCAAATGAAAGTGTGATACAAGGACCAATGAGACTAATTCCTCAGTAAAAAAAAGAAACAGGTTGAGAGAAGATGAAACAAACAAACAAAAAAAGGAAACCAAAAAGGATGTTGGTATGCAAATGATACATTAATTAACATGCTGGAAGCTCCCAAAAGACTTTGGGATTCTCAGGACCAAGTGGGGCCAGTCTCAGAGCCTCCCAACTGATGCAAAGACGCACCAAAGGAGGCCTGGACAGGTGTGTTTTACCTATTTTTGGTGGGGACTGAATAGGGGGAGGTGAGCTGGGGAGGGTCAGTTTAAATCCGAGGGAAGGAGAAGAGAGGGACTATTGCATAGCAGATGCAAATGAAGGAATCTGGGACAGATCAGGAAGCGAGGGAAAAGGAAGGTAGGAGAGAGAAGGTGATGGAAACCTCAGGAAGGGGTGTTAAGGACAACCGGAAAAATCTTCTAGTAATAAAACTACAAACAGACCAAATATATATAATATTATATATGTATAAATAACAGCTGGCTATTTACAGGGGAACACACACACGGACACACACACACGGATCCAGGGGATGGGGGCTGAAAGATATGGCTGAGAGGTGGAGGAACGGCGGGGGGGTAGGGGAGAGGCCCTTCTCTAGGCAGGGCAGACTCCTCGGGAATTTAAGTGCTGAAGTAAACTGTGGAGAGAGGGTAAGAGAAGGAGGATGAGGAAGAGGGGGGAGAGAGAGAGAGAGAGAGAAAGCAGTGTGTCAGACCTGGCCCTGTTCCAACCCTCCCCATTTCCCAGCTGGCTGATGTCCTTTTCCCTCTCTTGGCCTCAGTTCATTCATCTGTAAAGCAAAGGGGCTGGGGGAGGTGGGTCCCAGGGTCTCTTCAAATCTATGAGGCAGCCTTGGGCCAAAGTCCCCTAATTCTTTTGGGCTTGTGAGGTGGCAGGTTTTCAGTGGGGATAATTGACTTCCTGGTCATGTTCCCAGCCCCTGGGCCCTTCTTGTCTCTTACTTCCCAATTCCAGGGTTCCTAGAATGGGCTCTTAGGTCCATAGCGTTCTCAATGGAGTACTGAGGACCAACTCAGTTTCCCTGTTTCCAAGCTCAACAAATTGCCCAAAACCAGGCAAAATGAAGTGACACAACATCAAGGTTTTCAGCTCTAGTTGAATCAGAACTGCCATTAACATCAACATGTGTCTTTTGTTGAAGAGTACAAACTAGGTTAATGACCTTCAAAACCCTGAATCCACAAGGGAAAACTCTCCAGGGAGAGGGCCCTGGCCACTCCTGCCCCACTCACCGATGATGATGATAAGGATGATGGCGCAAATCACTCCCAAGATTATCATCATCTGGGGAGAAGAAGGAGCATCAGTATGATAAACTATGACACCATTTACCCACCAGTCCTCCTATCCCACTTCCCTTCCCCTAACCTTGAGGTTTTTCCACCAATATTTGCGCTTGAGCTTGGCTGCACTTGTTTCAAACTGGGAAGCCCCTGCCTGGAGTGCATCGGCACGGTCATCGAGCTCCGACAGCTTCTGGTCCCGCTCCAGGACCTTGTCCACGTTCACCCTCATAATGTCCACCACCTGGGGGAGAGGCCAAAGAGGCAGGGGTGTGCCAAGGCCCACCTCACCTCAAACAGGTGCCGTACACAGAACACGTGCCTGGTGCAGCCAGACTCACATGCCAAGGGCACACATAAAACATACCTAGCACACCTGGGGACATGCAAGGAGCACACATCGTAAACATGCGGGTAGTCTTGACATCTCAGATGTCATAGCAACACGCTTTGTGGGTCCGCATGTGCCGCCTCAGTCACCTGAGCACGCCTTCCTGGAGCTGGCACACCCAAGGATAGCACGACTAGTCCTCCCCCACCCCCCAACCCCCCACCCCCAGCATCCAGGTGCAGACAGACAGGGAAATAGACAGGGACATGGCATGTCTCTGACCCAAAATCCAAAGGTATGAAGTGTCAACATCACCAACCCAACCCAACCCAACCCAACCGGGCCCCCACCCCGGTGGCCAACCCGGGTGTCACGCCTTCACTCACCTCATCCACCTGGGCCTGGGTCTGCTGCAGTCTCCTGTTACTGGTGAGGTTTGGAGGGGGTGCAGGGGGACCACCCTCCCCGGCCGGGGCGGCAGGGGGGACGGTGGCAGCGGTAGCCGACCTGAGGAGCAGGAATAGATTAAGACCCAGGGCTGGAGCCACCAGCCCTGCGGCCAGGGCTCCGCCCATCCACCTGTCCATCCATCGTCCCTCCGGTCTTTCTTTTCGGGAAGGGCATCGCTGGGCGCCCGGGTCTCTCTTCGGCCCTCGCAGAGGATGGGGCTGCGTGACCTTGAGCGAGGCCCTCCCTCCCGCTCCTCAGGCCTCAGTTTCCCCTGCCTGTCCAACGACAGCGACCGCACAAATGCGGTCGGGGGGTCAACTCGGAATGCCTTGGGGGCCATGATGGCCGGGGCGGGGCGGGGAGAGGTGGACGCGGGGGTCCGCGCCCTCCCGCGGCCATCGCCCGCGCAGGCCGGCCTGTGGAACCCGGGGTTCCCGGTCGCCCGCGCGCAGTCACCGGCGCCAGCCAGCCAGCCCGGCCCCGAGCGCGGGGGGGGGGGGGGGGTGGCGCGGGCGGGGACCCCGGCATTCCCAGGCCGGTTCTCCGGGACAAGCGGCCGGTGCGGGGCAGCGCGGTGCGGGCGGCTGACGGCCAACTCACATGGCGGGGGAAACGGGCGGAGGATTTGGCAGCGGCAGTGATGGCGGCGGCGGCGGCTCGCTCTGGCTCCGACTGGCGCTGGCTGCCCGGGACGGGAAGATGGCGGCCGCACGTCACCCGCATCCGGGCACTGCGGGCGGGGGCGGGGCGCGGCCGGCGGCGCGGCGGGAGCGGCCTGCGGGGGAGGGGCGCGGCGGGGGTCGTGCGGGCCTGAGCCCGCGTCCGTGCCGCGGGGTCCGGCCCCCGCGGACCCCCGCAAGCCCCCCACGCCCGGCCTGTGTCACCACAGGCGTCCCCAAGACCTCGGCCACTGGGACCCCCGCGCCCACCCCAAGCACAGCCTCTCCCATCCACGAACCTGATACAAGCCCCCCACCCCGTCCCCGCACCCTGGCCTCTCCCTCCCGCACCCAGGTCTCATCATCCCCCCCCCCCCCCCCCCCGCACACACACCCCCGCCCCTGCACCCTGGCCTTCCCAGGGCTTCTCCCCATCATGGCCTTCCCTTCCCACACCCTGGCCTCACCCCCCCCAACCTGGCCTCCCTCTCCCCCCCCCCCCCCCCCGCACCTCAGGCTCCCCCCACTTTCATCTTGGCCTCTCCCTCCCCACCTCACCCTGGCTTTCCCCCTCTCCCTGGCCTTTCCCTGTACCCTGCCCTCCCCCTGCACCCTGGTTCCAACACCTGGGAACCTGCTTCTAAGCATCTAGAATGGGCTGGGGGTCAGAAATGCCAAGGGGTCCATGCGTGTGGGGCCAGGTCAATACTGATACACCTGCTGCTGGGGTGGAGTGGGGTGAGAACCAGTGATTGTCTCCAGGAAACTATGTGGCCTCCAACCCTGAGTCCCAGGGTGTAAGGACAGGGGCTCTTCCCTGTCCCCACCAGGGAAAAGCTGCCCCTCCTTCAACACAGGTTGAAGTTCAGCAGACCAGGGGGCAGAGGCAGGTAAAGCTGGAGCAGGCCTCACTGAGGCCAGGCCAGCTAAGGACCCCAGGGAGGAGGACACTGCTTCAAGTGGTGGCTGTAGACTTGTTCAAACCTAGCTCTGCCCCCAAGTAGGAGTCAGCTAGTCCCACCACAGGAGAACGGTCAGCCCTTCATCACAGGAGCCAGTGGGATTCCATCCAAAAGAGGATGGTAGCACTGGTAGTACTCAGGTATGGATGCTAGGTTACATGTGGATAATAAGCCTCAGAGGTATGACCTTGACAGTTTCCATTCTCTCATAGGTAGGCAGTATATGGCTTGATCTGGACAATATACTAGATTATCCCAGGCCTGGCCCATCTCCTGACTGGTCTCCATTTTAGGTCCTCTGAGCAGACCCAGCAACTGTACACACCCTAACCCAGCTTCTCAGAGAAAAAGGAGGGAGCCAATGAGGTGTCTAGTTATCTATCCAGTGGGGTGGGCTAAAGCAAGCCTTAAGGATGAAGGAGGCATTTTAAGGAAGATCTACTGGCCTTGGAGGGCTCATTCCATACACCCTGCAAGGAGGGAAGAAGGCTGGTGTCCTTTCCATGTCTGAGACAAACAGAAGCTGGCTTTTTCTTTCCCCCACCCAGCCTTCCCAGGGCCTCAGAGTATGAGATCCTCCTCCACCGCAATGCCCCACCCCCCAGCCAGCAGAAGCCCTGGGACTGGCTCTGTCACTAAAGGTGTCATTTCCCAGCTGTCTGGGGGAGGTGAGTGAGCAGGTGGGTGCAGGGACTCACAGCCCAATATAAGACAAGATGCTCTTGGCTCCCTCCTCTCCCTGGACTTTGTGCAGTGACACAGAATGGCTGTGATTGTTCAACCTATATCACAAGAAAAGAGCTACTTGGCGGGGGAGAGGTTAAGAGGGAGGGGAAGAGGGAGGAAAATGAGGGAGGGGATAACAAGTTAGACAAGAAGTATACTCACTGCCTTAAGTAACTGTAACCCCTCTGTTCATCACCTTGACAATAAAAATAAAATAAAAAGAGCCACTTTCATGGATGGGGAGGTGTGTACCTCAGACCACATTGTGGGCAGCTGGCCTGTGATTTTTGGCCCTGAGACTACTTCACTTTCTACTCAGAGAACAATACTAAATTCCATACTTTTAAGTTCAAAAGCCTAAGGGTCTGGATATAAAACTGGAAGGGTTAGAAGGAGGTAGGTACAAACAAGCAGGGTTTGCCCCAGATAAAGTTGGGGAACCTAGGCCAGGGAGTGTGGCTTGGAAAACTGCTAAATTGCTTTTGCCAGTGGATCCTGGGCCCAACAGAGTGGAAATGGGAGCACATGTAAGCCATGGAGGTGGAGGTCCCAGTAGGAGTCATCTGAGAGACAGTGCTCCTTGAGCAGCCCCTCCCACTGGATCCCACCTAGGCTGTGGTGCTGAGAAACTCCAAATTTAGATCAATCTTTGAAGCTGGAGGAAGGGAGAGGGGGAGGAGGAGGACCAAATTTACCTGGAAATGAGTAAGAGAATATTTTCAGCAAGCAGGTAGAGACTCAGAATCGAAGGAGCTGAATTAGAGAAAAGTAACATATTTGTATAACTGAGATACATTTACCAAAAAAAAAATCTTATCAGAGTACAAGTGGTTCATACCTATAATCCTAGCTACTCTGAAGACTGAGATGAGGATAGAGGTTTAAAGCCATTTGTAAAACTTTGTGTGTGTGTGTGTGTTGGGGCTGGGAAGGTGGCTCAGTGGTAGAGGCTGTAGGTTTGATTCCTTAGCACCACATAAGCAGTAAAAGCCGGAAGTGGCACTGTGGCTCAAGTGGTAGAGCGCTAACCTTGAGCTGAAGAGCTGAGGGACAGCGCCCCAGGCCAGAGTTTAACTTGGCGTGTTTGTACGTGTGTATGTGTGTGCAGGTCTTGTAGCTTGAACTCTAGGCTTGGGCACTCACTGTCCCTGAACTGTTTTGGTTAAGGCTAGAGTTCTAGCTCTGCTTTGTGTGTGCATATGTGTGTGTGTGTGTGTGTGTGTGTGGTTAATTGGAAATAACTTCCTGCCTGGGCTTGCTGCAAACCATAGTCCTCACATCTCAGCCTCCTGAGTAGCTAGGATTACAGTAGTAAGCCACCAACCAGTAAGCCACCAGTGCTGGGTTAGTAGTGGGGCTTGAATTCTGGGCCTGGGCACTGTCCCTCAGTTTTTCAGCTCAAGGCTGAGTGCTTTACCCTTTGAGCCACAGAGCCACTTCCAGTTTTCTAGTGTTTAATTGGAAATGAGAGTCTCATAGACTTTCCTGCCTGGGCTGGCTTTGAACTATGATCCTCAGATCTCAGCCTTTTGAGTAGCTAGGATTACAGATGTGAGCCACCAGCACTGGGTTTAGTCCTTAGATTTTTTTTCTTTTTCTTTTTTTTTTTTCTTTTTCTTTTTCTTTTGTGTGTGTGTCAGTTGTGGGGCTTGAACTCTGGGCCTGGGCGCTGTCCCTCAGGTGTGAGCCATGGTTGCCCAGCCCTTTCATTGTTTTTCTTACTTCAAATAACTCCTGTTTAGAAGTTGGGATGGAAGGGAGCTGGGTCATTACCATACTGACTCATGAACTCACTCCATCCTAATGAGTCAACCTGATAGAACTGGTAATTAATTTCAGAGAATGTATGTGTTGCCCAATGAAGCTTGTGAAGGAAAGGCCTTCTAATTAAGAGCCAAATTGTGCCTAAGATGGCGGCTGGGAGGTAAGCTCCATGGCCCTCATAATCAGCTAGTTCTTCAAGTCCCAGACTTCTGAGGTTATTTCAGAGCCTACCAGGACCACCTGGGTTCCAGGAAAAAAATCCAAAACCTCCTCTATGCCAGACGTGCTGAGTGGATTGCCACAAGCCTTCACTTCTGTTTTCTTGTTTTTCTTTTCTCTTTTCTTTTTTTCTGTTAGCCATGGGGCTTGAACTCTGGGCCTGGGCGCTGTCCTTGAGCTCCTTTTGCTCAAGGCTAGTGCTTTACCACTTTGAGCCACAGCACCACTTCCAGTTTTCTGGTAGTTAATTGGAGATAAGAGTCTTCAAAGATGGGCTGGGGGAGGCTGGGAAGGTGGCTCAGTGGTAGAGTGCTTGCCTTGCATGCATGAAGCCCTGGGTTTGATTCCTCAGCACCACATAAGCAGAAAAAGCTGGAAGTGGCGCTCTGGCTCAAGTGGTAGAGTGCTAGCCTTGAGCTGAAGAGCTGAAAGATAGCGCCCAGGCCCAGACGGGCAAAAAAAAAGATGGGCTGGGAATGTGGCTTAGTAGTTGAGTACGTGCTTGAAGCCCTGGGTTCAATTCCTCAGTACCACATAAATACAAAGCCAGAAGTGTCTGAACAGACAGGTCTGGTCTTCAGGCTATGAGTCTACCTTTTTTTCACCAAGAAAACATAAACTAGAAGAGTATACATAAAGCTACTGTTTAAAAGATCTAGAACACCAAGATATGGAAACAAGATCTCTCCCCCTTCCCCCATGTGTTAATGATTTTGTCTTTTTTTTTTGGGTGGGTCATGGGGCTTGAACTCTGGGCCTTGGCGCTGTCACTCGGCAATTCAGCTCAAGGCTAGCGCTCTACCACTTGAGCCACAGCGCCACTTCCAGTGTTCTGGTGGTTTATTGGAGATAAGAGTCTCATAGACTTTCCTGCCCAGGCTGGCTTTGAACCACAATCCTCAGATCTCAGTCTCCTGAATTAGCTAGGATTACAGGCATGAGCCACAGGCATCCTGCTGCACATCTGCTTTTAAGTGACGCAAAAGAATGTGAACTGCCTTCTGAAAAATTATTAAAACATTAAACAAAATTAAATAGCCTTGGTCACCTACAACTCTTGTATTTTTGTTTCATTTGTACCCTTTTTTGTTTGTTTCAAACAAAGCCAGACCCAGCAGGAAACTCCATGAGACCCTTATCTTTTTTTTTTTTTTTGTTGGTTGTGGGGCTTGAACTCTGGGCCTGGGTGCTGTCCCTCAGCTCTTCAGCTCAAGGCGAGTGCTCTACCACTTGAGCTACAGCGCCACTTCCGGTTTTCTGGTGGTTTATTGGAGATAGGAGTCTCATGGTCTCTCCTGCCCGGGCTGGCTTTGAACCGCGATCCTCAGATCTCAGCCTCCTGAGTAGCTAGGATTACAGGCGTGAGCCACCAGCGCCCGGCTTGAGACCCTT